TTTAAAATCTTCAGTGGCTTACCATCAACTTAATAGGACAAAAGCCAAACTTTCTCATGTTATGCAATCCTGAAGGCTGGATGCAGTGACTTACCTCCATCAAATATACATATCCCTTTTCTACAAATCCAATTTATCTCCAAAGTCCAGATGATGACCTCCCCAGCACTGCAGCCCACATTGACCTTTTCCTTCTCTGAATTCCTACAGCATTTATTGGCTTTATGACTTATTCTGTGCAAAATCCTATTTTGCCATACATTGCCCTTTCCTATTTCTGGAATGTATTTGTTTTCCCATATAAATTGTAAGCTCTTCAATCTCAAAACCATTCCTTGTACTTCTTTTGGAAAGACCATAAACTCCACAAATACTTGTTGAATACACAATAACTACTATAAAAATCATTCATTAATGGATTTATCAGGGAACCACAGCTCAAAAATGTTAACTAAAGGTAATCATCCTTCTCTCGAGTAAACATTAAGAAAGTATATTTATTATATTCTTAATTCTTTCACATGATAAAATGTTCCCTGACAGCCAGGTTAGCAGTTTTGTAGCTGGGGACCTCAGTTTTAAAAATATTTTTTATCATCCACTTTACTTTTCTTCCTTCCCTTCCTTCCTACCCCTGTGTTTCTTCCCTCTCTAGATACTGTCCCAAGAAATTTCAGAGGCTAATCTTGAAACAAACATGGAGCCCCTGGTGAATCTTCCTGCTTAGGGGTAGTCAGGAACAATTAGTCCACCATCATAGGGCTGAAGTGAAAACAATGCCAACCTAACCTCCAGACAGGGGATCACCCAAGATAGGCATCAGAACAAGGCACACAGTTCCTGCACCCTGCACCACTCCTGCATGTCTCCCATAACAAGCTTCCCTTTAAAATCCCTTAAATTTTCAGATTTAAGTTGGTCCTTTAGAATGCTAGTTTACCATCTTCTCAGGTTGCTAGCTCTCTGATTAAACCTGCTTTTCCTCCCAGCAAACCCTGCCTCTAATATATGGCTTTTGAGAGGCAAGCTGCCAAATCTGGGTCCAATTACACTTTCATAACCTTTTCAGGCAAAATCTTTATGCCTACACTATTTTTTAATAAAGAGTCCCACTACTTCGTATCTCTAAGGAAATCATTTAGCTCCCTCATTCATTCAACAAATATTTATTGAACACATACTATGTGTCAAGCACTACAGAAAGAGCCCTGAATAAAACAGATAAAGTGCCAATTCTCAAAGAGCTTAGAGTCTATTGGGTCAGTACATAGTATGTCTAACGGTGATAAGAGTGATGAGAAAACTAAAGCAAAAAGGGAATTAGAGGGTCAGGGTTGAGGGCACAATTATGTTGCTCTTTTATATGTGGTAGTCAGGTAAGGTCTCACTGCCATGAGACGATATTTCAGGTAATACTTGAGCAAAGGCTTGAAGAAAGAGAGGGAGCCATGCAGATATCTGGAGTAAGAGGGTTACAGAAAGAGAGGGAACCACAACTGCAAATGTCCTATAATGTGAATTTGGTTTTAAAAACATGTAATTCTGCTATAGAAGATTAATAGGTATACAGTTTACAAGACTTAGGTAACACTTTTAAAATGTGTTACCATAGAAAAGTAGTCAGTAAATAAGTAGCTTGTGAGTCAGGCAGAATTCATAAGATGCATTGGGTATAAAGGTAAATTCAGTCAGCCCTCTATGTCCCCAGGTTCCACATCTTCATATTCAACCAACCAAGGATCAAAAATACTCAAAAAATTAAAAATAACACAATAACAAAAACAAAAAGAGACAAATTTCTATTTTTCAGTTTTTATTTTTTTGAAACAGAGTCTAGCTCTGTCACCCAGGCTGGAGTACAGTGGTGTGATTAAGACTCACTGCAACCTCCACCTCCCAGATTCAAGCAATTCTCCTGCCTCAGCCTCCTGAGTAGCTGGGATAACAGGCGAGCACCACCACGGCTGGCTAAGTTTTGTATTTTTAGTACAGACAGGGTTCCACCATGTTGGTCGGTCTGGTCTTGAACTCCTGACCTTGTGATCTGCCTGCCTCAGCCTCTCAAAGTAATGGGATGACAGGCATGAGCCACTGTGCCCAGCCCAAATTTTTAAAATACAGTATAATGTCAGAGCAGTGGCTCATGTCTGTATTCCTCACACTATGGGAGGATGAGGCAGGAGGATCACTTGAGCGCAGTAGTTCAAGACCAGCCTAGGCAACACTGAAACCCCATCTCTACAGAAAAATACAAGGTGGGCACGGTGGCATGCACCAGCAGTCCCAGCTACTCTGGAGGCTGAGCTGGAGCACCACTTAAGCCAAGTAGGATGAGGCTACAGTGAGGCAAGATTACAGCAAGTTTCCAGCAAAAGAAAATGTAGTATAACAATTATTTATGTAGCATTTATATATTATGTATTATAAGTATATATAATATATACATATATATATTATGTATTATAAGTAACCTAGAGATGATTTAAAGTATATGTGGGGATGCGAGGATATATGCAAATATTATGCCATTTTATGTAAGGGATTTGAGCATCCACAGATTTTGGTACCCACAGGGGGCAAGGAGGTGGGGCTGGAACCAATTAGGGATACCTTGGGACATTTGTAGTTAATAAGTCTAGTATCTATCCCTAAATAGAGACAGAACAGAAGAACCAAGAGAAAGTTACATTGATGAGGCACTAAATATGTAAAAAGCACCTAATATTTATGAAGTTGTAAATATAATGAGGTATCTGATGCATTTAACATTCATAATACATAATATGAGATATATGAGGCACTCTATATGCATGAGGTCTTAATTTGGTTATCCCACATCTTCTCTCCCCAGGTAATAAATAAAACCCAAAGCTGCTCAGCAGGCTAATTGGCAAGCTACAGCTGAGGCCAGGCATGCTTGCCCCTGGGTCTCTCTGATAGAGCCCTAGGCATCTTCCATCTGATTGGGCCTCTCACTCACCTCAATTCTGATCCTCTCTGCTGATAATTGGCCCTGCTGAAAAGATGGATTTCACATTTCTGACAACCAGAGCCAGAAAGCATTTATTTACTAAAAGTTGAATTTATTTTACGCCTTACTGAACTAAAGGGAAAGAAGGGGGATAAATTGCCATCACCACTTATATATTTACTCCATTTACCACTTGTACCTCATGTGTATAACATTGACACAAAACTCCTTGCTAGTGAGTGAAAGCACTAATACAGAAACAAAGCAGAGAGAATGCTACACAAAAAATTATTCCTGGTTCTAGTGAAAATCCCTAGTCCCAAGACTATAAAGCTATTTTCCATTGTTCACAATTTTTTTTTTTTACTTATGGCTGAAAGTTATTAATGCTCAGCTTCTACTTTAGGTGATGAGAAGAGTTGAGAGTCCAAGATCTTTTAAATACCAGAAAGGGAGAGTCTTTTTTTTCCCTTAAACTTTTATTTTATGTTCCAGGGTACAAGTGCAGGATGTGCTGGTTTGTTACAAGGTAAACGTGCCATGGTGGTTTGCTGCACAGATCAACCCATCAACTAGGTATTAAGCCCAGCATCCATTAGCTATTCTTCCTGATGCTCTCCCTCAACCCCCAATGGGCCCCAGTGTGTGTTGTTCCCCTCCATGTGTCCATTTGTTCACATCGTTCACCTCTCACTTATATTCTCACTGAATATACAGTGTTTGGTTTTCTGTTCCTGCATTACTTTGCTGAAGATAACAGCTTTCATCTTAATGATAGTCTGGATAAAGAAAATGTGGTACATATACACCACAGAATACTATCCAGACATAAAAAGAAAGAAAAAGGTCTTTAACTGCTGCTACTTTCTTGCTAATTCCAGCAATGTGCTGATAGTGTCAAGAACTATCACTAGGTCCAGAAATAGAGAAAGGCTGATTTAGGCTGAGGTTCTAGTAACTATCTTATTTTTAACCAAAACAAAAGAGAGACATGTACTGCCAGGATGTGTAGTTCTGATAGTGCATCAGAAATCAGGACAAAAAATCTAAAGCAGAAAATGACCAATTATACCAAAGGAGAAAACCATCTTCTGCTGAGGTTTCACAAAGGTTCCTGGAGACAGGTGACTTTTATACAATTATACTCATGGAAGCCAAACTAGAAGATTAATTTAATCCAAGAGAATAAATATTGATTGAACATCCACTCACTGAAAACCCCCATGTTTGACACTTGTAAGACACAGAAGTAAATAAGCTGTTTACCTTCACAGACTCTGCATTTAAAAGAATACAGACATGTTCCTTTAAAAATGGAAGACAAAATAAGTACCACAAAAGAGAATCATAAGTGCTCTAGGAACCAAAAAGAACTGCTGCCAAAAGGAAATGAGGTAAAGGCCAGACAGTATATAATAAGCAAAGAAAAACAGAAAATTCAGAAGGAATACTAACAGTAGAAACCTGCAGTTTTCAAAAGAGCTAAAAGATTAGAGAAGGATACAGAAAACAGAACTTGTTTCCTGGTCAAAAGCAACAAAAATAATGAATGGAGAAATGGAGCAGTAAGGAAACAAAATTCTCAGAGTAAGTTCTTTACCTAATTGCCTTGTCTTTTAAAAAGGCAATATTTGGGGGAAAAAATTCTGGGCTAAAAAATGCTTTAGATGAAATTTTAGTATGCCAAAGATTAAAGGGTGTTCATAATAAAATGTTATCAACAACAGTAAAGGCCAAGTTCCCATGATTCTGCAGATACTTACTGAGGCAAAATCACAATGTGACCAGAAAGAACTTCAAAGTGCATGGGCGGAACACTTGGCGAAGCACCAAAAACTGTATCAAAACCAGTGCCCAGAACATCTATCGAAGGCATGTCTTCATGAGAAGTGTTTAGTGTTGCCGCCTCTTAAATTCTTCTCCAACCTTTTCAAGGAAAAGTATTTTGATAGACATTTGCCTTTTAGAAATGGGATTTGATGATTGGTAATGAATGCACTTAACAATATATGTAATATTTTTTAAAAAGGAGAACTGTAGAAATACATGAAAACCACAGCTTATCCAAAACTCATTTGAACCACTGATTCACTATGATTCCTTACCAAACTAGTTACAAATTGCAAACATGCAGAGAAATAGACTAAATACACAGCATACATGCATTCTTCCTACTCCTGCCAGGCAGGAAAATTAAATATATTGACAAAACAAAAATGAAATCAAGCAAAACTGTGGCCTATCAAAACTGCGTATTTGGACATTTTGGGTAATTGTCAAAAGATAATTTGGCTCTAAGATAAAAGGGGGATTGTGCCTCTTTGGAGATTTTATACAATTAGAAAGTGACACCAAAAAATTTATTTCATATTACACAAAAGGATATCTTCTAAACATACAGCAGAACAGTAAAAATCTTTCTGAGCCACCACAACAACTTGGGTAGAGCAGGAGTTGGTCAATATCTTTTTAGAAAGAAAGGCAAGGAGAAAGCCATAATAGTAGTTTAAAAGTTTGTTAGGTTTAGAAACATTTTTCTAAGATGTTCTCTAATGTGTTCTAAAGTATTTCTACAATAAATAGTATACTAGTCTTGGTGGCTCATGCCTATAATTCCAACTACTCAGGAAGCTAAGGTGGGAGGATTGCTTGAGGCCAGGAGTATGAGACCAGCCTAGGCAACATAGCAAGATCCCTGTCTTGTACATATCTATACTCATCTATAAATAATTTTTAAATAATAAAATAAGAGGAGCCCCTTTCTCCTCTACTTAGAATTTAATTTTACCCAGTAACATACATTATATCAAACTTGTCCCCCTGCAGCCTGTAGGCCACATGCAGCCCAGGATGACTTTGAATGGGGCCCAACACAAACTCATAAACTTTCTTAAATCATTATCAGGTTTTTTTTTGGCATTTTTTTTTTCTTTAGCTCATCAACTATTATTAGTGTTAGTGTATTTTATGTGTGGCTCAAGACAATTCTTCTTCTTCCAATTGACCCAGAGAAGCCAAAAGACTGAATACTCTTGCAATATATTTACTGGGAAAAAAAAAAAAAAACCCTATATACAACTAAAAACTGTAAAATACATCAAAACACATTGCAAGACAAGAAATTACTACCATCATATGATTGTTGTGCTGCTTCATGAAGCAGTATTTGGCATCTGCTTGTGAGAGCTGGCACTACATGAACTCATGATTCAAGAATGTGTGTCATCCCTACTTAAAAGTCCCAGTAATAAACCTTTCCCACTTTGAGACAAAAATACACATCGAAAACCTTTAAACACCCCTTGACAGAAAAAACCTAAAAGTCATTCGTTTACCCATTCGATCATTCATCAAATAATGAATACCTGGGTGCTCTATGCAAAATAGTAGACTAGACAATGAGAAAACCAAGATATATAATACACAGTATATGCCCTTATGAAATTCACAGTCTACAGTTTGGAAGACAAAGCATGTTCACTCTCTAAAAATGCCAAAATCTAATCAGCATACTAAATTTTTAATTAGAAAAAATTTGATCATTTCTGATGATACATATGTATATACATGTAAGTGTGACATATATACACAGACGTATTTAAACAAACACACATGTTTTTTAACTCTTCAATTTTACATAACTTATATAGTTTTATATGGAAAAAGCACAGGCCTGGAAGTCAAGACTTATCTTCTAGTGAATCTCAGCTGTTTATTAGCTATGTGACCTAGGGCAGGTTACTTAACTTTCATTAGCCTGTTTCTCAGTGCATGAAATGAAAGTAATAATACCTGTTTTACCTACCTTACAGGCTTTTTATGAAGATAAAATGACAATAGATGTAATAGTGACTATTAAACTGCAGAACTCTACACAAATATATGTTATTACAATCCAAAACATGAGAACTCATTATTTTAACTTTCAAACTATTAAAATAGCTAGAATACTTTCATGTAAGTTTTTAAGTAAAACAATTTCAGCTTAGTAGCAGTCTTATTTCTTTTAAGACTACGTTGAAGACAATGAAAATTAAGTTAATGTTGAAATTAATGTTGAATTAATATGAATTAAAACTGATTAATGTTAAAGAACTGCTACCTGCCAAAAGTTTCTCAAAGGACCAAATGCATCTTAATCACCTGGACTGATTAATCACATAGACTGGTAATTCTGAATTTTAGTGGGTTTAGGAATCCACAAATCTATCAAGCACCCAGGAGATTCTTTTCATTTTTATTCATTCATTTTATAGACAGAGTCTAACTATGTTGCCCTGGCTAGAGTGCAGTGGCTATCCACATGCACAATCACAGCACTCTACTACCTCCAAGTGTACTATGGCCTCCCAGACTCAAGTGATGGTCCTGACTCAGCCTCCCAAGCAGCTAAGGTAAGAGGGATGTGTCGCCATGTCTAGGTCTAGGAGATTCTTAGACACACTAAAGTGTAAGAGCCACTGACATATGGTGAAAGACTACCTCTTCCAACTGATCTTAATAACAAATAAGAAAATAATGCTGACTTGATTAGAAATAAAAATAATGTGGAATAATTACTGTATTTTCCAGGTCCTCTAAAAATATTTTTTAATAAAAAAGGATAACATATTTGGGGTATTCATTTCACTAATGTAAATAGTGCTTAAGATAATCTGAGTTGTTATTCTTTTTCATAACTAAAAAATACATCCATAAGCCATTGAGAAACATATAGTAATAATTAGGGACATTAAATATAAAAATCCTCCTTTCCCTTGAGTTAATAAATGTTTAACATAAATGCCATCTACTTGCAATGTAATACTACCATCATGTTTCATTATATACATAGCAATGTAAAAATACATAATCATAATCAATGCAAATATGCTTTCCACAACTTAATGGTAAATGAGACTTCTAACATATTCCAAAACAGAATTTCAGATAAATACTATATCAAGAAAATGATGGAATTTTAAGAGTTCTTTGTCTTGACAAATTAAATATAAAATTAGTGATACCTTCATACTATTTCAGCAGTGTCAACACTATTTCAAATTGTATACACTCCTTGCTAAACTAAAGCAAATTTCAAATGTACAATGTTAAACAAATTCTGTCTATGGAAAGTAAATTTTCCTAAGGCTTTTCTTTTTTTCAAACTAAAAGATACATAGTAGATACCCATTAAAGTGTACAATGGAGAATTTAAAGCTATTCATGTGGTAAAAACATATTTGAAAGCCAGATGGTATGGCTCAGGCTTGTAATCCCAGCACTATGGGAGGTCAAGGCCCACGGATCACCTGAGGTCAGGAGTTCAAGAGTAGCCTGGCCAACGTGGTGAAACGCTATCTGTACTAAAACTATAAAAATTAGAAATTAACCAGGCATAGTGATGGGCGCCTGTAATCTCAGCTACTGGGGAGGCTGAGGCAGGGGTATTGCTTGGACCTGGGAGGCAGAGGTTGCAGAGAGCCAAGATTGCGTCATTACACTCCAGCCTGGGTGACAAGAGAGAAACTCCATTTCAAAATAATATATATAATGTATACACACACACACACACACACACACACACACACACATATATTTAAGAATTTATTTTTTAATTTAATATTAAATGCTATTTTTAAAGAGATTAACTAGAAAAATATATGCAATTTATTTTTCAAAAATGTATTTTTGCCAAAATAATTACAACATTTAAAAAATGTCTTTGTAAGAAAAATTTTGTTTATGTAAAACAAATTTACAGTCTTTTGTAAAACTGTTGCCATCTTACAGTAAAACTACAGTGGAGAAAATATTTAACTAGTAACAGTCAAATAAAGCACTGTTAAAAAGTTTCATATAGTTCTTTAAACACTGGTTATATTAACATTTAAGAAACAAAAACCTACACACACTTTTCCTTGCAGCTGCTTTATAAAAGTGTATATAAAGTTCCAAAACAAACTACTGAAAAAAGCCCTACATTATTGTTGCAAATTTCTTCCTAACAGACATTTCTCTGTTTGAAACAGAAGGCTGCCTGTTCACTGAAATGACTAAAAACACGAAGTTGGTCATTCTTAACTAGGCTATAAGAAAAAAATATGCAATAAGAAAAATAATAAGTCACTCAGTAGTAGACAAAATAGTAACAGGACAGCTACAAACCCATCATTATATGTGTTACTAACATTTTATTTTGTGTAGAAGAAAATTTCCCTTTTAGCTGTAAAGCGTGTCTTTGAATGTTTCCTTCCTTGCCACCTTTCATGTTCAAGTCAAAGAAAGCTTAAAACATTCATAAAATATCTGTAAATTTCAACCAAAATTTGAAGTAACAGAACAGAATCTGTTTAAAAAAAAAAAAGTGAACAAACAAAACATATTACTCTCTTCTCTAAGAGTACCCCACTTTGCCCCACAAAAAAACAAACACAAAATAATGCTTTCAAGTTTTAACAAATTTTCAAGCAATATATTTGATACATTATGTAAAAATGAAAACATTTCAAAGTCATTACAATGTGATTATGCCTCTTTTGTGGGTAACTATAACACTGTATTATCTTCAGACAGAAATGGACACATCAATGTGTCTATCCACCCAATGCCACAAGAAGTCAAATCAACAGATAAGAAATTCAAAGGCTGTAAATAAAAGACAGCACAGTGTTGGAACCAGGGAGATGCTAAATGATTCTCTATTCTTTTTGCTTCTGCGCATGCTTTAAAGTCCAATCAATGCTTATCTCTCACTAAAGCCAACCATGTTACCCAACATGTTCACTCCCTTCTCTGAAGGGATACACCCTGTGTTCTAGGTCATTTGGCATTTATCATTTGCTTACTTAGGTATCCTTTTCCTTTGTATCATTTAACTTGGCAGGTATACTGGAAGCTTTTCAAGGGAAAGGGCTGTTTTCTTCCTTTCTTGGCTTCACCATGTTAATTCATCTTTTGTTCCTTCTCACAGACATCAAGCTTCCTGCCCCCTTTTCTCATCTACCTCCAGAATCTCCACTTTATGTGTATGACCACAAATGCAGATGGGCCCTCAGCACTATCAAAGGACTCATTTGCAATCTCAAATCAAACCACTCTCCAAAATAACTAATTCACTTCTTCCTCTCCAATACCTCCAAACTCATGCTCAGCTAATTCCTTTGTTTCTTACTTCAGTGGACAAATACACACCATCAGAATAAACTTCATCTTCCTACTCCCAAATCTACTCATATACTTTGCTTTCAATACTGTTAAAATGAATGAACGCTCCCTGCTCCTGCTAAAGATCACTCTCTTCACTTGTGGACTACATTCCACAATTTCCCACTTATTTGAAACTGGTCCTGGAATTATTCCTTCTGGCTCCTGCATTGCTAATTCTTCCTTTCCTAGTAGATAATTCTCTGCATACAAACATTTTAGAATTGCATTCCTTTCTTTAGGCCAGAGATTCCTCATTTTTACAGTAGGGGTCAAAATAGTACCTACTGTACAAAATTACTGTGAAGTTTCTTGTAATTACAATTATTACAATGTTTCAAAGTTATCCTTGAACTTCATGTCTCCTTCTGGCTACCAGATTTCTCTAATACCCTTTTTGGCAATCTCAAAACAATGGCCTATTCTTGCTGTCTTAAATTCCTCATTCTCTCCTGTACCTCCTTCACTCAGGCCTTTGTCTCTACCCATACCTGAAAACACACTGTCAAAGGCATTAACCACTTATCATATGACCAAATCCAATAGTCTATTCTCAATCCTCAATAAGTGATATATCGAACACTTACTACGCTACCAGAAATATTCATTTAATCCTTCCAGTAACTCTGTGAGATAAATACAATAATTACTCATTTTAGAGAGGATAAAATCAAGTCTTCTGTGAGTTAAGTAACTTGCTCAAGATCATACAGCTTACTCAATCTCTAGGAAAGTCCTAGCGAAAAACCCATTATCATTTTAACAAATATTCCCCTACTCAATGTCTTCACAAGCAACAAGGCACTATCCTCATGTTCCTATTCACAATGACTCTCAATCTCTCTTAACCCATGCCCCATTCAAAGAAAAAAAATTTCTCTCAGTTGGCTTTTTGCATACTATATTTAGCATAAAATCAGTAGCATCAAGGTATGTGAATAGAGAAAGGAAAACGTGACAAATAAGAGGAAAAAACAGATAATGTTAAAAAAATCCTCAAATGATCAAGATGCTGTAGTTAGCAGATGAGAATGTTAAAATAACTTACAAACACATTAAAGAAGGGAGAGGGTGGAATATACAAAATTTATTAAAACAACAGTCCCCAACCTTTAGGCACCAAGGACTAGTTTCGTGGTAGACAATTTTTCCATGAACAGTGGGGGTGTCAGGTGGAGAAGGACGATGGTTTTGGGATAACACTTTTCCACATCAGATCATCAGGCATTAGATTCTCAAGGAGCACGCAACCTAGATTCCCCACATGTGCAGTTCACAATAGGGTTCACACTCCTATGATAACTTAATTCTGCCACTGATCTGACAGGAGGCAGAACTCAGGCAGCAATGCTGGCTCAACCACTGCTCACTTCCTGTTGTGTGGCTTGGTTCCTAGCAGGCCGTGGACTGGTACCAGTCTGTGGCCCAGGGATTGCAGACTCCAGATAAAAAGATAGACAACTTCAAGAGAAAATTTAAACCTATAAAAATAGTTAAATGCATATTCTCAAACTAAAAAATACAGTATCTGAAATCAAGAACTCATTGAATAGGTTTAATAGCATATTAGATAAAGAAGATATGTTTGATTAGCTCAAAAACAGATCAATAGAAAATATCCAATCTGAAGCATGGAGAGAGAGAGAAGAGAACAGAGTATAAGGGAGAAGTGGGATGCTCTCAACACATGACACATGCATAATTAGAGTCCCAGAACAAGAGAATGAGGCAGAAGCAACGGTTGTGGGGGCTTTTGTTTGTTTTTGCTTTTTTTGAGACAGCGTCTCACTCTGTCACCCAAGCTGGAGTACAGCTTGGGTGTACTCAGATATGATCATGGCTCACTGCAGCCTCAATCTTCTGGGCTCAAGTGAACCTCCCGACTCATCCTACTGAGTAGCTGGGACCACAGATGGGTGCCACCACACCCAGCTAATTTTTTTTTTTTTTTTGTCTTAATGGTCTCCCTATGTTGCCCAGACTAGTCTCTAACTCCTGATCTCAGGCAATCCTCCTGCCTTGGCCTCCCAAAGTGCTGGAATTACAGGTGTGAGCTATTGTGCTCAGCCCCTGCTGGCTTTTAAGATGGAAGAAGGGCCACGAGCCAAGGAATGCAAGAATTGCAGCACAAGAAGCTAGAAAAGGAAAAGAATTCTTCCCTAGAGCTCTTGGAGAACCTTAGTTTTGGCCCAGTAAAACCAATTTTGAACTTCTGACCTCTAGAACTGTAAGATAAATTTGTGTTTAGTCACTAAGTTTGCGGTAACTTTTTATAACCACATTAGGGAACTAATAACAAGGATCAATAAAAGAAGAAAATATAATGAAGCTGAGTTTATCTCCACCCAATAACATCAAATCTAAAATCTAAAAAGCAAAAACAGGTAAGACCGTTATTATAGTTGCATAATGGTAACTCACTACTCTTTACTAACTAATAAAGCAGACTAAAAAAAAATCAGAAGAGATATGAAAGATTTAAGCAAAACTATTAACTATCTTAACCTACTTGACTTTTATGACACTATACACAACCACTGTAGAACACACATTCTTTTCAAGCACACAAGTAGCATTTGCTGAAACAGACCATATGCTGGGCCATAAAGCAACTCTTACAAATTCAGAGAACTGAAATCATACTAAGCTTTTTTGCTGACCACAGAGGAATTAAACTAGAAATAAATAATAGAAACATCTAAATAATAATAATAAGGAGAAATAAGAAGAAAATAACCAAAAGCAACATCTATATTCTGGAAAATAAGACAGTTCTCTCTCTCTTCATCTTCTCCTGCAAAATTCTCCCCTGCAAAGTTCTCATACCCTGGAGGAATTGGGGGAGGGAGGGAAAGAGAGAGA